TGTGTATGTCTGTTGGTTAAGTGGTGTGTAGCTAAAAACATTCTCACGACCTCTAGTACATGTTGTGTCTTAAACATAAGAACATTATGGCTAAGGCTACAGTTATACACATCGTAATAATAATTTTGAACACCCTGCCTGCTGACAGTCATCAACTCTTCTCTCTAGTTATCCTTGACCAGATGTACCCTGTAGAAACTCATGAGCATGACTAAGCATTTAACAGTCTAACTAGACATCCTATCGCCACTAAACATTTCTAATACATAAAGTATCTATCCAATTTCTATCTGACTAAAAATACCTAACATTGGTCATAGGGATAAACATGCTTCATCATCATCTGCATTATTAGTAACAATCATCTACAACTGTACCTCTAGTCAGAGTTCACCATTTGGTATGTACAGTGTCCTTTCTCCCAAATATAATGTCTTAAAACTTGCAGGTGTACCAGAATCAAAGGGGCATGTCAGCTTCTCTTTCACATACCCACCGTAGGTACTGGGTACACTGCTCCATGCTCCATGACTTAACTGTCTGCTCAAAGCCTCCAGCTTGAAAGCTGTTGAAAGCTGCACAACTCTGAGTCCTATAGTGCTGGTAATAAATCGGGATTCCATTCTGCCAGTGCCTAGAAAGACAGTCATTCCAATTCCAAGGAAACAGAGACAGGGACAAGACAGAAAGGAAAGTCAGAACACAGGAAACTTAACTGAAACCATTATTTTGAGACACAGAACTAGAAGTTTGATCAGTATCCTTGTTGTAAGATACGAGATGACACGTCAACCAGAATGCCTCACTCTTCTGTATTACTATTGGACTGAGATGGGCTTCATGTTTATTATGTTTATTGTGTGTGTTTGTATGTAAATATGATTGGATTTCAAGGTACACATGATCCTTGAACACCTACGCGGTTCCAAGTGATGTTCCATCAGTCCACACCCACATAGATTGGCTGGGTGTTTGACTTAATCCAATCCAAAACTTCAAATGAGCTCCAAGTTGATTCAGGAACTCCTTCAGGGGAAAAATCATCACTTCACACTGAAGGCACACATACAGTAGATATACAGTATGCTTCTATAAACCATTGATAACCTCACCATTTCTTGCCGGCTGTTAATGATTACCAGGTCTGCTCTTTGGTTTGAACACTGCTGTTTGCTGTTAGGCCATGAGCCCAGTGTGGTCGAAAAGTAGTAACATTTGCAGCCAAACCTCCTCCACCCATTAGGGCACGTTCCTGAGGAGACACAGTGGTCACGTTGTGGAGTATGTGAGGAAATGGAAGCAGATGTAGGACTGGGTGAACAGGTGATTACCTATCTCACAACCAGATGGACTCGTTTAAGGAACTGGTGAACTATTAATATAATCAATAAATTAAGCTGTGATTTTAACAAAAGTCTTAGAAAAAGGCCACTCTTTACAGATTATACCACAGACCTATCAACAATCACAGCCAGTCAGGGCTGTTGTATTTCAACTACATATTACTTCTACTTTTTCTCACATAACATGAAGAACGATACGTTGCTGCCAGGCCTGTTTGATAGCCAGTCAATATTTACAAATCAGCGGAGATGGCGGGCAGATGAATGAACCTCAGCACTCAGGTAACAAATGTACACAGTACAAAGGAATCATGAAACAAAACCACACTACATGTAAAGATGCAAGTTTTTTAAACACATTTTTATGAAGCGGTGAAGTTGGGGGTTATATTCAGAATATTTCCACCTTCTTTAAAATTTAGTATTATAGGTTCTGCCCCACTCAGACAAACCTTATCAAATATAATTTCTGACATTTTCTTTGATACATGCGTCTGTGAGAAGAATCCTCACCAGTGTTCTCCATCACTCTGTTGAAACTGGTTTGTAACTGGTCTCTCTCATCAGTTAAGTTCTGGTATCTGACCAGGAGCTGGTGTTTCTCTGCTGTGTAATTGGCCAGGACTCTGGACAGCTGATGAACCTGTTTGTTATCTGGGAGCAAAGAAAAGGAACATAGAACATAGGCTCATGCCACAGTTTGCTTCATCTGTAACCTACTGTTCACCACTCTTCACCTCTTCATGTTTCCACTTCCTCTGTTCTCTGTGAATACTCACACAGTGCACTGACTCCTATGACTATGACCAGCAGGAGGAAACACAGCAGCCCCAGACAAAGTGTAGCCACTTTAGAACATGACCAGGTTTCAGTTTCCTCTCTGGCCACAACATCTGTTCTCACAGGAATGGTTCCTGCAGGTGTACAGTTTAGTGTTAGGATACATTAAAGTCTTCATGTTCCCAGTTGTTATATGGGAATTAAATTTATATCTGAACTGAAAATGACAAAAAAAGCTGTCATCATCATTACAAGACCAATCATTCAAACATTTCGTTCTATGAATGTATAGTATAATGTTTACAATGTAGACATTGTTTAGTTTCAAACCGTAAAAACAATGTAGACATTGTTTAGTTTCAAACTGTAAAATACGTAGGTCCATGTACTGGGAATGGCATGGAGGTTCAGACTGGTTTAAAGTATATGCACCCAGTACAAAACTATAATGACAAAACATGACCATCCAGTTACAAAAAGCACTTTGATGCTTTCTAACACAAAGTGGCTACAAGGCAGAACACTAATACTATGTACATAGTGCATAATACACTAAACATATGATATGAAGACCTGTGTCATTGTGTAGAGGTTGTCTATTTAGTTTGGGATTTTTTTTTTTGGCAGGGGGCTGCTTCTTACTCCCTAGTTGCTCTGGTTGCTTCGCTGGCGGCTTGCCTATGTCTGACCCCACCTTTGTTTATTAAACTTTGGACCTTTCTCTGTGTTTGGCCAGAGTCAGGTTTGAGTCTCAGTCTATTACACATAATTACACGCACATGTACAGATGCTGTGCAATATGTGAACATGCTGTGAAAACATAGATGTAAAACTGTCATTACATAGCTATGTAGAAAGAGAGAAACATACAGTCAAAAGTGATGCAACAGAGAGAAAGAAGAGAAAACAAATAAATAAAAAATAAAACATATTATTGATATTTTATTTGTATTTTAAGAACATGCTATTTATAATAATGAAAAAGCAAAATTGAAGAAGATTGCCTTCCTGACACACAAATAAAAATGTGCTTTGTTAATTTGTTCATTTATTATGCAAGAAATATTATATTTGTGACCAAAGGAAAGATGTCCAAGTCATACTCAGAGATGTAGTGAAACTGCCATATGCTTACATACAGTAACTAGACTACTGTAATACACTCTGTAATGTAGAGCAGCTGCACATATGTGATATTTTGCAAAACAACAAACACACACACCAGACTAAACAATTCTCTACACACATAGTCATCATAAAATAGTCTAGAAATGACACATATGTCCAAATGATGAGGCATCATATGTCTTTATGTGTCAGATATGAAAATGGCTTGTGGTGGTTTTACTTCCACATAATGTGTATGTTTCCTTCTTTAGGAGGTTTATACTTGTAGGTGTGTGTGTGTGTGTGTGTGTGTGTGCGTGTGCACTGTCTGTCCACATTACAGCTGCTGAATGTGACCTGCACCACACTGAGGAACAAACTACACTACCTTTGTCTACTCTCGGTTCTTGATATTGTTTCTTCCTGACTGGTTTATACTTGTAGGTGTGTGTGTGTGAGATATGTTTGCAAAGTGTCTGGATAAAGCTGCAACCAACAGTCTGCTGAACAGTTCTTTAGTTATTCAAAATAAATAACTAGTCTCTCTCCAAAAACCCAAAGTGACTCTTCAAAGTACCCGTTTTGTCTGACCAACGATACAAAACAAAATTCTATGTGCTATTGTATAAGACAAATGATCTTCATGTTTGGTATTTTTGCTTAAAATGAATCAGTGTTGAACTTTCAGTTCCAGACTGAAAAAATATATAAGGCCTGTTACTGAGATGAATACTTCATGCCCACATGTTGGTTAGATATCATCATTGTTTTGTTACACAAAACTATCCCCAGTATTTACAGGTATGAGTGATTCCATTTTCTGTTTTTGGTTGTTTGAGACTGATGGTTTTAAAACTACAACTCGTGCTCTACAGTATATCAGAATCTATGTTGTATGATATGGTATTTAACAGACCTACCAGTCCCCCCTCCTGCAGTGCTGCAGACGACACCCAGCTCCTCTACATTCATATAAATCTGTTCTTGTGGCTCCATCGAAGCAGCTCCTCCAGTCCGCTGTCACAGACGTGTTGTCTGTGTTGTCAGCCTGAAAGCCTGTAGGTATATCAGTCGGATGAAGTCAGTGGTGGGTATAGAAGGCAAAAAGAGAGTTATGTGGAGGTTTCTGTTCCTTATAATCCAGTCAAGTGGCATCTTAACAAATTCAGGCTATTATTCATTATCCATTATTCAAATGTGTTTGTAAACAATTACATACATATATAGTTACACACATTTTGTTTTTTGGCCTCTGTGCTAATTCAGTTTGAGATAAATTACTGGATCCTTCATTGAACTGTCAAGTGTCAGCTTTTATTTCAGTATAGAAAACCTGTGTGTGGGATACAGCCCTAATAACACACAGTGGCAAAGGTTTAACTGGACATCAAGTCAAACAAAATCATGATATTTAATATTCTGTAGAAAATCGCTTGCAGTCAACAAACACAGGAAGTGTTCCCTGATACACTGCATCTTCTCTGGCGAACTGACATAATGACACAGGAGGTGTTGTGCTGTGGGTTTGCTAGCTGTGTCATGAACAGGCAGTCTGTCCAAGACATGTTCTTCTTCCTGTCCAGCGCCAGCTGGGACAGTCTCTCAGCAGGCCTCCCTCGCTGGCGTTAGATTCTGTTACCCAGGAGTAGATTCTAAGGAAAGTGGAATCTATTTCCCCCATTGACATGTGTGCCCATTTTCCTTGAGCTGAACTTAACCACACTCCTGCCCCTAATCAGTTATACCTGCTTACTGTTTGACAAACCTCCTGCTACTATACCCTCCACAGGATAATGGATGGATGGATTCAAACATGATGGTGACATTTCTGAAAGTAAATCACTTAAATTACAACTTACTGTATAAGCATGTTGTCAGATACTTCTCCACTCAGAAGCGTCTTTTGCTTATTGTTACTTCACTTGGATGATTGACTGTCACTATTCAGATCAATGTATGCACGGTTTGACTGTTTCTCTGTGCTCACCTTAAATGTCATGCACAGTAAATATAGCATCACAACTAACTAGGGTCCAATATGCAGGAGACACAAGTGTGATATGAAAATGTAAAACATCCAGTAGAGAGATAGTATATACCACCTTTCATCAAACTTAATTTGACAGGTGGCCCCGCCCCCTTTGTCCATTTTTCAGCCAATCAGAATCGTCCTTTCAGTCCTTAGTCCCGCCTTCCGGTTTCCGGTCCACGTGGTCTCCACGTGGCCCCCACGTGGTCACCGGGGGTACCCCACCCTCCTGCAGCTGGAGATAAGGAAGTTGTGGTTAACCGCATCTGAAAAGATAAACAGACATCGGTTGCATTCTGTACACGCCTATGGTTATGTATGGTTATGTAGATAAGAATATAACTGTATAACTGTATTTGATATTGGTTGCACCCCTTACATATCAGGGTGTAGTTAAGTATTTAACTTGTTCCTTACTTGATCTTGTAAAATGATCTAATTAAGAATGATGAGTGTGGAATATAGACTTAACAGAATGTCAAACTATTGTCAACGAACAGCATTTTAGTGCGTTATCCTTTGAACATACATCGAAGCAGTTAGGGTGAACACGATCCCTTTTTTTTTTTTTTGCGTCCCTCTGTCACGGTTCGTTTTCTACATGCTTTCCACGCCCATGCTGTAGCAAAAAGTAGTAATACAGAATGCTAAACTACTCTCAATGAACAGCATATTACTG